TCTCTCAATTTTAATCACGCTTTATCTATAACTCATGCATGCAGGCAACTTGTGTTTGTAAGGTTGTGGCATGCTATTTCTGGAATTGGTTTATTTCTAAAGGAAAATATGGCAGCTTTTTATTGTCAACAAAAGTGTATCTTAATTTTAGGGTGTTGTTTCCTTTCTTGTTACGTTGCTATAATTTTGTTGCAAATAATAAAATAAAATGTAAAACTTTGTTTTATTTTTTTAAAAAATAATCATACAACGTTATCAGAGAAATAGTACATTCCTGGCTCATCAACCTAACTATGCTCTTTGTGAATGGAAACCGCGTAACGTCTCAATGTTCCTCGATTTCCCAACTCTCTACAATTTTCCCCATCTCCATTAACATAGTTTTAGTATATGATTTTTCTACCGACGTTTACAAACGTTTAAAATTAAACTAAATGTATTGAGTTGCACTGCAATCGGAAAAAAATCAAGATTTATCGTAACCTTGGTAACAGGAAAGGGGAAAGTATGGAGAGTAGGGAAATCGTGTAACCTTGAGACGCCTATTCGATTTACAAGGAGTACAAAATAATAATAATAATAATCTCCAAATTAAGGTAAAATTACCCACATCACATTCTTATTTTCTTAACATAAAAGCAATATCCTATTACCGTCGTCCAAATACAAATTTAAGGCATTTATTCCATTTAATTTCAAATGCAACTTAATGAACGAAAAATTTCTGTATGAAATGTAGAACGTTTTGTGTATAAACTAAGACCTTGTATGAGAGAAAAAATTCACGAAAGCCTCTTAAAACTTGTCCAACAGCAGTTGGATTCTAACTTACCAACATTCACTAACAGTAAAACTGATTCAAAGTTGAATCATAACGTTGATGCCTTGAACCATAATATGGTGCAAATTAACGAAATCTTAACATATGATGTGAAGTTCAAATTGAACCAATGTATCCTGTAATCAAGTTTAATAAGTTTGATAATGTAGTTTAACTAATCATTCTGCTAATGCTTCAACAAATTTGTAGCCTATTATGGTTCAAGATACCAATATTATACCTAGTGACACCTTGACAAAATGTTAAACCGAACTATATCATCGTTAATTATGTTTAAGAAGTGTGATTATTTGGTTCAATTTTAAGCCATACTAATCGTGTAGCAAATTTGTACCATATTATTGTTCAAGACGTCGATATTATGATACAATGCGAATTTTATAAAGTGTTTAATTGCACCATAATATCTATAACCAATTTTCAGAACAATACCAGTAAAACTTAACAGAATTTCAAAGTCGCAAACATCATAAGGCGTAAAAGTTAACCATATTATCTGATAATTGAGATTGAGAAGTGCGATAATATGGTTCAATGTACCAACATATTAAGGTTGCAGTAAATTAGATCTAAGTTATGGCTCAACCATAACATATATCTGTACCATAACACAGATTAGCTATCTTATGGCTTAACCATAACATTCTTTTTCACGTTCTTAAATTTAAACTTCGAATCAATATAAACAGATCTATTTACCAATGAGGATATAGCATGATCGTGCAATACTAGATGTGAACACTCTATGGATTACTAGCTGCTATCCAAACCTTAATCGCGATTGTCGCTATATCTAACGTTATAGTCACTGAGCCATCTCACCAAATAGCACATTTTAAAGATAAATTATTTTAATTTTTCAAAACATGATTTTACCTTCCAGCTGAGTTTGAAATGGTATCCAGTTCAAATAATCTGTAGAGTGACAGTCCACCGATTCAAAAATTCGTTCAAAAATTCCAATTCAACAGTTCAGGGAAGTTATTTAAATTTTCTCACTGGTTTTTATTTTACAACCGTCGTTGAACAGTCGATCCAATTTTTTGGATTTACGACTACAAGTGTTCAACTACACAGCCATGAAATTTTGAACCCAATCCAGAAGACAAGGGAACTCCTGGGTCGAGTATTGGGAGAAATTTGCCTTCGTGGAGGACTTTTTGTTGGAAATAAGCGGCATTTGTGTTCACATGGAGAGAAAAACCTTCCACGTTTAGCCTGACGAAAAGGGGACTCTAACCCATGATCCGTCAACTACTGAGGATATTTCACGTCAGCACTGTTGTCAGTGCAAACCGGATGCGGAATTCGTATCGACCAGTCATCACTGGGATTCGAACCCGAATCATCTCATTGAGAGGCGAGCGCTTTATCCACTGAGTCATCACGGCTCTTTCTCATTGGTTTAATATTAGCCATAGGTTTAAATTAAACTTTAGACGATTCTGTTCATTTTTCCATATATATTCAAAAATAATACCAGTGATGCTCGTTAATTTAATTTCTGTTTTATTAAAAACGTATGTTCTTCAATATGAGGGGGGGGGG